TCTCTGTATATTTCTCTTCTCTTTTTCTTTCTCTTTATATGTATATGTATATCTCTCTATATATATATATATATATATGTATATATATATCCCTATCTCGCTCTCTCATTCTCCGCGGGCGCGCGCAAAGGGAAGGGGGGGGAAGGGGGAGAAGGGGGGGGAAAAGGGGGGGAAGGGGAGCGAGGGAGGGGGGAGAGATTGAGGGGGCGGGGGGGACCAAGGGCGAGAGGAGGAGGGGGACGAAAGGGTGAGAACTAGGGAATTGCTGGAGAGGAGGGAGACGGCGGGATATTGACGCCTCTAGAAGCTTCCTGCCTGGTTATGGAGGCCCCCTGGGCAAAAAAAAGGAATTGTTAGCTGTTTCGGGTCGCAGCCTGTCACCCCGTCACATTCCCGCACATTTCTCCAGACTAACGGATCGCACGCTACGCGCGTTTTCCGTCAATCTGGGGGCCAGCCAGCTAGAAGAGGCCCCCAAGAGGCCCCCAAGAGGCCCCCAAAAAGCTCCCAAGAGGCCCCCGAGAACCCCCAAGGGGGCCCCAAGACGCCCCAAGAGGCATCCAAGAGGCATCCAGGAAGCCTCTAGTTCGCGGAGGTTCAACGAGGTACCCCAATGATGCCACCCTCCCCCGCAAAGGGCAACCCCCTGGACATCGCTCATGAATGGGATACGTTTTTGGCACGCGGGCGCGCGAAGATGGGTCGAACGCTGGGCACACTAGGGCGGGCCGCGCCAAGCACAACAAAAAAACAGCGAAGCGAACGGCGCCCGTCACAGAGCGGAACTGGGCGCGACGCAGCCAACATGGCGCGGTAGACATCACAAAACGGCACCGAGAACTCGCCAACGAAGGCGCCGATTAGGTCGCAGGCGCAGTGTGGGAGAGCGACCACACACATGAAGGGTCAGCAGCTCGGCCACCCCAGGACGCAACTTGCCGAAGGTGTCCGAGAGGAAACAGCAGCCACACACACACACAGCAGACATGCGGCAGCCAAAGCGGCGGGAGGAACATGCGCCAATTACTATTCTCTCCAGGTAAGCTCGTCGAACTCGAAGCCCCTGAAACCTGACGGCCTTCACAGACATGGAGAAACGAGCAGCCACGCCCGAAGGAGCAGCGTGAACGACCCCCAGAGACGGGCGCGGCCCACGCGAACGACGCGCCAAGCGAACGCCGAAGAGACAAACGGCCTCTAGTCCCCAGGTGGTAAGACGCGTAGTCGGGCAGCGACGGCGCGATGATCTGCTAGGTCAGGAGGAAGCGGGAGTCGGTCGGGTTGCGGCCGCTTCGCAGGCTGGGGCCAGCACAGAGCTGGGGGGAAGGCCGCGAGCAGCGCGACCAGTCACCAGGGCGCCCCACGCGCCGAGACCCGGAGGCAGCTGCAGCGGCCAGCACGGCGACGCCGTGAAATAATGCGCCCCAATGCGACAGCGATCCCGCGGCGCCAGAAAACAATCACAGCGCCGCGGCAGCAAACGACCCGCGCGGGGGCGCGGCGGACAGCAGACAGCCCAGCAGCCAGCAGCCCGCAACGACAAGGCCGCACCGAGGTCCAGAGCCGAGACCACCACCGAACCCGAGCTTCACAAAGGCAAACCTGCCGAACAGCGCCTTCAGAGAGCGGGGGGGAACCCTTACTTGAGCGCGCCCGAGGGGTCAGAACTGCAGGAGGGGGGGGGGGGGGTGGGGGAGCCGGAAGGTCAAGACGATCAGCGGCGACACTTCGTTTTGCACTTCTGCCGCCAAGACGATCAGCGGCGACACAACTGGAAGCAAGAGAGTCGGCGAGGACACTCACCAACGACACAACCAAAAGCACGACATCGTCGAGGACACTCATGAACGAAACTCGTGGCCGCATGGGCCACTTGGTCGGCCCTTTTTCAAAGCAGCTCTCCCTTTCCGACGCGCGCCGAAGCACACCGACGGCTTTGCACTACCACGGCAGCACGCGACGGCAAATTTCGCCAAGGCAGATTTGACAATGAAGTTACGTTCGGGGTCGTCGCCCCCGCAGCCGCGAAGCCATCATCATTTACTATGCGCGCAAACAAACATCATCACAATCATCATTTACCTCCCCCCCCCCACCATCCCCCTATCCTTCCCCTATCCTCCCTACCACCCCCCCCCCCCTCCACCCTATCTCTCCCGCCCCCCCGTCCCCCCCTATACCTCCGTATCCATCCCCATCTCTCCTATCACTCTTTATCCCTACCCTACCCGCCCTAGCCCTCCCTGCGCCCCGCCCCATCCCCAAACCTAACCCAAATCCTAACCCCCCCCCCCCCCCCCCGATCACGCCCATTCCCCTCCCTACCCCATCCCTACCCTTGGAGATGAGGGGGTTGATGGGGGAGAAGAGGACGAGGATGATAAGCAAAAAGAGGCGGAGGATATGGTTCTGACGCCCCTCCGCCGCGCCGCTCGCGCACCCTCGCAGCGGCCCCTCAAGGCGACGCTCGCCTCGCTGAGGGTGTGTATGTGTGTGTGTG